GAACTAAAATTTTGCAGCTGGACCTTTTTGTACCTCGAAATTTCCATAAGTAGAGACCTTCGTAAGTCAAGGGTCCACTGTACCACGGTTTCTGGCTCCCTCGAGTGTCCAGTTCTGGAAACTTCATCTTTAGAAAAATATATTTCTAGGATTTTTCTTTTAAAATTTAATATTTTCAGACCATGGATGTGTGTATCAGTGGATACTGACCCCACAGATACAGGGGTCCTACTGTATATAGTCTATATAATGACACAGGAAACCATTGTTTCTATTAAGGCTTAGAAGCAGTGTGTTGAATTTCTTGATGTATATCTGCTAAATCTGTTCTTGAAATTTCTCTGTTCAAGGATTGCAATTCTGAGGTCAGAGAAAGAGTGACTTGGGTGAAGCATTCACCCACTGGTTTCTGGATATTCGTATTTCTGATATCTGTTTTGTGCCCATTCAGTCTCTTAAGTGGTGCTTGGTCTATTTGGCCACCACTATAAAATGCAGCGGGGCAAAAGATGTTAGCAAAAGATGGCATGTATCACTTTTAGTGGTTAGAGTGAGGATGGCAGACAACTCAGAGTGGCTCCGATGACACACAATCAAGAGACCGTTGTGCTGTGCCAGCAGGGAAGAAATGCGTTTTCTGTGCCAGCCTTGCATCTACTTATAGTCACCTAGCAGGGCTGTTTCAAGTGCTCAGCAGCCGGTCGTGTTCTGCTTCACGGGAGGAAATATTGTTAACCATTTGCCTGGCACTTTGCAATTAAAAGAACTTGAATCCGTTCCAGCTGTGATGTTGTCATTGATGCAGACACAGGAGATAGAACGTGGGATCCCACTTGTCCAGTAATAATGAATATACTTGTGTTTCTGTAGCCTGATCCTTGGAGAGGCGAAGGCCATCGTGTGTATGTGCACCTCTAGCCCTCCCTTGGCTCGTAAAAGTGTCAAAGGGTGATGGGTCAAATGGTTTCAGTGGGGTGGGTGATCAACATTGCTTTTCAATATATCTGCGAAGATTCCCAGTCGCTTTTCAACATAGAATTGGTCAATTTCAGTCTCCTCAGCATCGGTGGTTTGTGCATAAACTTAGATTATTGTGATGTTGAAAGGTCTGCCTTGGATTCGTATTGAAATCATTCTATCATTTTTGAGATTGTATCCCAGTACAGCTTTTCCCACTCTTTTGTTGACTATGAGGGCTACTCCATTTCTTCTACAGGATTCTTGCCCACAATAGTAATATGGTAATCAACTGAATTGAATTCGCCCATTCCTGTCCATTTTAGTTTAGTGACGCCCAGGATGTCAATGATGATTCTTGCCATCTCCCATTTGACCACCTCCAGCTTCCCAAGGTTCTTAGATCTTACATTCCAGGTTCCTATGCAGTATTTTTCTTTGCAACATTGGACTTTCCTTTCACTCCCAGGCACGTCCACAGCTAAGTGTCCTTTCGGCTTTGGCTCAACCACTTCATTAACTCTGGAGCTACTTGTCCTTGTCCTCTGCTCTTCCTCAGTAGCATGTTGGACACCTTCCAACCAGAGGGGCTCATCTTCCAGTGTCATATCTTTTAGCCTTTTGTTTCTGTTCATGGGGTTTTCTTGGCAAAGATACTGGAGTGGCTTGCCAGTTCCTGCTCCAGGTACATCGGGTTTAGACAGAAATCTCCACTATAACCTGTCCATCTTGGGTGTCCCTGCATGGCATAGCCCATAGCTTCTCTGAATTACTCAAGCCCCTTCTTCACAAAAAGGCAGCAATCCATGAAGGGGAATTACCAGCTAGTCTCCAATATAGAGGTGCCTAAACACGGCATTGCTTCCCAGCTCCAGGGATTCCACCATGAAAGGAATTACAGAGATCCATTTCAGTCTGATATCAGGTCCAGATGTGGATCAGAAATAGCTTTCATCTCCATGGTGGACAGCTTGTGCTGAGCATCGGACAGGAAAGAATGTCTCTCCATTAGGATACATCTAGGATGGTAATTATCCCACTGTTTGATTACAGGTATTGCTGTAAATTTCAATGTTTTTTGTCTCAACTACACAACAGGAACCTAATCACGAGTCGACCTGGTCTTTTTCCATGGGTATTCAGTACACGTTGTTTAATCAACTGAGCTTGATTTTTTCCCCCAGAGCATTTTTAGAGCAGTATTTTGTCTCCCTTTCTGGCTTATTTAGAGCAACTATAGGGTATATCCTGATCACACTGAGGGCCACATCATCAGTGGGACAGGTGGTGATGGTTCAACACTATTCCTTCAGGCTCATATCCATTTCTACCATTGTCCCTTCCATTTCTTTTCTGGTTCAGTTTACAAAGTAACATAGCGCTGAATTGGCAAGACACGCCACTTTTGAATGGCCACGACATCATTTACCTGACCTAGCACCAAAACTTTCTTTCACTGTTCCCCCCCCCCACCTCCGTAAGAGTGTTGACCATAGAATTCTAAGAAAGAAATGGCTTATAAACCAGAGTCTGGCATCTGTAGGAGAAGAGATGACAATGAACAAATTGGAGCTGAATCCACATAAAATAGATGCTCCTGTTCAGTCAATGTGCAGATCGGGGAATAGTACTTCAACCTTCGTTGAATGTGGATTACACTGTACCTGAAAGATCTTGATATACAATATACTGTCATATTCCATGTTCCAATTATACTTTCCTTTTGGTTTTAATCCAGGTGCTTTATTAGAGAAAGTGCTTTTCATACTTCTCCTCTGCTCTTCCCCAGCAACTGATCGAGTACCTTCCAGCCTGGAAGTCTCATCTCTCAGCCTTATTTCTTTTTCTTTTTCGACGGTCTCGTTGCAGGGCTTTCAAGGTATAAAATATTCAAAATCGGTTTCCCGTTGCCATCTGCGCAGTACTACCAAGAGTTAGCTCAAGTGTTTGTGCTGTTGAAAGTGAGAGCTCCTCTACCGGTGTCACCTTCCACGGCTACTGTTGCTGAAGAGATGCCCTTCTAGAATTTCTCTGCCTCTCTCACCCTTTTGAACAATCAATTCTCCTCTGCTGATGTGACGGTTAATTCTGGATGACGGTGGATGCAACTTAGTCCGATGCCTCCAGCTTTGACCATTCCGCCTTCGGTGACCCTGCTAGCAGCCGATTCTCTTTAAGGTACGGCTCTCAAGTTTGTTTGACACACTCCGCCTGGAACGGGGCTGACTTGGTGAAAATGCCCTGCCAGCAGGCAAGGATGGAGTGGCTCTCTTAGATCCCTAGTTGTTCATTTGATTTTACTGTATGTGTTTCACTATTGTGATGTTGTAATTTTTAAAATATTTGATTGTTTTATTTCCTAATGATGTGATTGTCTTTTCTTTATGGGGTTTTTGGTGATGTGTTTTTTCTTCTTCTTCTTTTATATGTAAGGAAGAGTTTTTACTATATTTCATTGTATGATAGTAGGTCAGATTCAATTTCAAAAAAAATCTAATTCCTATAAAATCTGATTCCCAAATGGGCGACATGTCTTGTATTCCTTCAACCAGCTCAAAAGCTACAATGACAATTTTTATAGGCATGAGAATGCAACGCCCCAACTAGTTTATTTCCTCAAAGCAAGTTGCCTATGCCGGCTGACCCACGCAGAAAGCCACTTCCCTGCTCTTTGAAAAACCAGAAGGGCCTGGGAGTGGTGGTGATATTAAAGAAGTTGCACTTTATCTTGAATTTTGGGTCAGATCGGAGAGTGAGAAAACAAAGCCCCCACCCCATTTACTGTATCTTAAAAGGAATTCAACCTCTGATGCTGGCCCTTCCAAGCAGCATCCTAAGATTAGATCCTTCCTGCTTAGGGATAGAGAGAAGCTATTTTTAACATGCTGGACATTCGAACAACAGTATACTAAAGGGCATGAGCTCTGACTGAGTGGCTGGGAGAGATACATGTAGAGGGGAAAAAACACAATTGTTGTGGGAGTGGATGCTTAAAAGAGGTTGGTCATACTCTGTATCTTCTGAACCAGAGGAAGGTTCAGTGCCTCCCACACCAGATGCATTCCCTAGTTTTTCACTCCCTGTCAGTATTTAGGTAAAGGTTCCCCTTGACAATTTTTGTCCAGTCGTGTTCGACTCTAGGGGGCGGTGCTCATCCCCGTTCCCAAGCCATAGAGCCAGCGTTTTGTCTGAAGACAATCTTCCGTGGTCACATGGCCAGTGCGACTTAGACACGGAACGCTGTTACCTTCCCACTGAGGTGGTCCCTATTTATCTACTTGCATTTGCATGCTTTCGAACCGCTAGGTTGGTGGGAGCTGGGACAAGCAACGGGCGCTCACTTCGTTGCGTGGATTCGATCTTACAACTGCTGGTCTTCTGACCCTGCAGCACAGGCTTCTGCGGTTTAGCCCACAGCGCCACCACGTCCCAAATACGTCAGTATTTACTCCTCTCAATTTCCTACATGGAGATGAGATGGCTGCCTTTAGTAATCTCTCCTCCCTCGTAAAAGACTGCTGTGGAAGCCTGGTTCCTAGAAATTACCGTTGTTCAAACAAACAAACAAACAGTTCTGTTGAAATCTCTAGCTAGGCAAAAAAAATATATATCTTTGATTTCAGAGTCATGGTCTGGAGAGTACTTTCAGAATGGCCACTCCTGGGATGGATCTAACGTCTGAAGTTCATACAGAATTCACTTTCCCTGCCCTGTCTTTCCTGCCATTCACCAGTAGCTATATCAGTGCGTGTGGTTTGCCTATTTTCTTCTTAAATGCCCCGTCCTCCTAAACATTTTTAGTTAAAGGCTGATTAGATATATTTACCAGCCCAAGCCTCCATGTTCCCTGCTCAGCCAGAGAATCTCTTTTTTTTGGATCGATCGATCGATCTATCACTCAATCAATCAATCAATCAATCAGTCGGTCTATCGATCGATCGATCGATCCTCTGCAATTCTTTCTCACTATTGTCTCCAGTACAGGAACTGTTTTTGGAGGCGTCCACCAGCATCCCCGGGGTGGAGACGGCCCAGTTAATCTGACACAAGGCAGAAGGCCTTGTCCAAGGCGGATCGTGCCGACGAGCGACAGAAGTGCCACCTCAATGGGTAACCGTGCCCCAGGCATTTTCAGCCTGGTGCCTTCCATTTAAGTACAATTTAAATGTACGGGCTGTGTGTAGGTTCCCCTAACCATCACCCGGTGAGAGGCTTCAGGTTTCAATCCAGATGTTCTGTGAGAAAAGATTACAATTTATACTTCCAGATACCAGCGTTCTGAAGATTGTACACAAGGGAATTTGAATGTTACATTTACATGTATATAAAAAGAGGCGAGGCCTAATAAAAAAAAATATATGGAGGATTTTAAAATTTAACAGAGGGACTATTCCGTTCCATTCTTCGTCTCTCTGTCTCCTTTAACTTTTCTTCTTGGTCCCTGTCAGCATGTCCTGCATTGGCTTTCTTTCTCCATTTGAGGGAGGTTTATTTTTTAATTTTTAAATTTTTTTTTATTTTTTGCAAATAGGTTTAGATTCACTAAACATTAAATCTAGGACTTCTCCACTGATTAATTTTAGGAGCTCTGGTTTCCAACCTTTGCCGTTACTGTGTGCGTTTTGAGTCACTTCTGACAGACTAAGGACCGACAAAGGAGCAACTCCCAAAATTCTTGGCCTGGCACCATTGCTGATTCATAGGCTCACAGAATTATGGAGCTGGAAGGAGCCTCGAGGGTCATTGAGTTCAATCCCCTACTCAGTGCAGGAATCCAAGTCAAAGCAGATCTGACAGATG